TATGTTAGTTTAGTATAGTAGTACAGTACTCTTGTATCGGTTATATAACGTACCTTTACAATTTTTATATGTACGTACATACATATATATATATATATATATATACATATTAGTCTAATTTTATATTATACCATGTGACCCTGGTGATCATCACTATGGGTTATAGTTAGAAAAATTCTACTTTTATTATGAAGATTCAAATATTAATAAAAGATAACTTAAGATAGTATTGGATTTAAATAAAAAAATAAAACACTACATGTTTGCGCAATGCCATTAAAGAAATTTATATCCACAGAGTATTTCATAGCTTGAAATGTTTTTAAATTATTGCATAAATCTTTTTTGAAAAATCACTACTGCAAATAGAAGGTATTTGAAATATGCCCACCACGTTTTTCTTAATGTTTTTGCATTTCAAATTCCTCCAAGTTCTTTACCATTTTTTGATCAAAGTTTTTTTTCAACCGCATTTGGCCATTTGTTTTGTTGGGAAGATTTGATTATTTCCAATAATTTCTACTGTCTAAAAAAGATATAATAAATAAATAACACCTTTTTAAATATTGTTTTCAGTTCAGTTGCTTTGTTAATCGTAGATTCCTCACTAGTTTCTGAATCATATATTCGTCCAAATTTGAATCGTGCTTATAAAAATATATCCATCTCCCTGCTCAACAAGTTTGACAACTTTATTTGCAATTGCAGTGTATCTCTAAGGGAATTTCATTAATCCATATACTTAAATTAATTGTTATTCAAAATAATACCTATGAATACTTTCAATTTTTCATTAATATATCCATGCTTTCAAGAGTTTGTAAATTATGTCTGTAGTATTTTCCACATCAAACACATTGTTTTCAACACCAAGTTATCGGCATTACTTTCTTCATGCTTTCGTTTTTTACTATCTCTAAAACGTATTAAACATTCGGAACAAGCCTTATTTCCTTGAAAAGTTTTACGATTTGCAAAAAGGATTCATAAAAGAAGAAAAAATTTTTATCGTTCAAAAGATTAGTATATTGATTTGTAATAATTACAAAAATTTTTATCGTTCAAAAAAAGCAGTACTGTATATTGATATGTAACAATTACAAAAATTATCGGATAATTTAAGTGCCACTACGTTCAGCAATTCTTGAATGTGTGCCAGGTTGATGGTGCATTACCTAGTCACAATAATCTCTTTTATTTCAGTATGTACTGTACAGTGCATTCGTAAATTTTCTTTTTCAACTAAAACTTCAACCATGTGTTTCATCAACCGTCCTGTACTTTGAATGTTTTCTATTTTTCTTTCGTGAATTGAAGATATAACAGAAATAATATAATTTAAATTTTTGGTTCGTTCATTATAAAAAGGTACATTATAAAGGAGTTGACTGTACTTAATATGTACCCATATATCTAAAATTTCGTGCTGAAAACTTTTGCTTAGAAGTCAAGCTACTGTTATCATAGTAAAATCTTGAGTTATTTACGATTTTTCTGTTTTCTTAGATAACTCAAAATTTTACTATGATAACCGTTAGTTTGACTTCTAAGCAAAAGTTTTCAGCACGAAATTTTAGGCATATGGGTATATCTGAATATTGAATATAAAGTAAATTAAAATTTGCACTTAAGTTTTTTCGATTCGGTGATCGACATAACCTTGTACACATTTACGGATGCAATTATTTAATTGTATGACGTATAATAAAAGTTGGTTGCAAATTGATTTTCCAGCAGGCCTAATTATGTATACCTTAAAAAAATAGGATTTATATGTTACTTCTTTTGAAATAAATATATCACTTATCTGAAATCGGACATCAGATCATTAATTCTGAAACGCTTATTAATGCTTTTTAAAGAATCGGTAAAAAAGAAGTCATTCAGATTTAATGAACAAGCAATTCGTTATTTATTTCAATTGATGAATTATTACAAACAAAATAATTTGAACTTCACAAATTGACTATTACCTTTGCATGTACAAATCTAGTGTTGTTTGTCTTTTTCTTGCAATAACATCCTTTTTAAAAACCACCTAGCTTTTGTATAAAAAATCCGTCCACATTAAATCCATTTTCTTGATTAATAAAGTGAAGAATATTATTGATACTTGTGATGACCTCTTTATGCGAAACACGAACTTCAGGCTCTTCATCATCATCTTCATCACAATCACGGCATTAATTATTTCAGCATCACTTGGCATAATATCCATTTCAACACTATTATCAACATCAACAAAATCATTTGCCTACATTGGATTGGTTATAGGAAGCTGATTAATTAAAGACTGAATTCTGCTACAAGATTGGTAGGGTCGGGGTCGGTAGTTTCTAATTGTGGTCTTGGTAAAGTAAGATCAAAATCCTCTGGCTCCCAAGAGGTCAGAAAAATCATTACTAGGAAGGATTTCAGTCTTAATCCAACAATTACGAATTGTGTTAGCAGAAACCCATTTCCATGCTTCAACAGAAAGACCAATAGCGTCTTTAATATTAAACTCCAGCGCAATGATTCCAGCGTCGCAGGGTTGTTGTATGAGAAGGAAAATGATGAATTTTAATATTAGATGGAACAAATCCTTCTTCAAGAGTGTGTGGTAAAGCTTTGTCCATTAGTAAAAGAAAGTTTTTTGATATAATGATTAAAAATTGAGAGTTGCATCCAGGCAGAGGAATTTCAGCAAAAGTAGACAGGTAATTTTGCTTTATCAATATGTCGAATAGCATGAGGGTTTTGGTATTTGTAAATAAGCAGGGGTGGTAATTTATCATCACCAGTACTGTTACATGTGATTAAAATCGCAACTCGATCCTTTGCTTTTTTTATTCCATGAACAGGACACTTGCAAGTGTTTTTCTGGTTCGAGACGCCAATATAAACCTGTTTCATCACAATTATATGCGTCCCAGGGGTGATACTTTTTAATTATATCTTTGAGCTCATCACAATAATGTGGAATATCATTTGTTGGAGAACTAGTGGCTTCACCTTGCTTTGTATACTCTTTAATGTGAAACCTCTTTTTAAAATTTGCAAGCCACCCTTCTGATCCGCAAAATTATCAAATATGCAGTTGCTCTGCGAACTGGAAAGCTTTACGTTGGATAATTGTACCGTAATTGCGCCTCAGCCTTTGAAACCCATAAGTTTAGTATTTCTTCAAGTTGAGGGCAATTAGCTGAACGATCTTGCTTCCTTTGAATTAGGATCAATCGAAAGCCAGTAATTTTGTTGTTTGAGTATCTTAGAAACCGTTGATTCGCCAATATTGAACTTCAATTTGGGTAAACCCACTTTCCATAGCTGACAAATTTCAGCCTTCTGAACTTTCGTTAATGTGATTCTTCTTGCTTTTATGACTTCGGTTACTTGTCCCATGGCCTTATTGGTATCTTTATTACTCAATGTTCTTTTTTTTAGAAGTTAAAGCTCGAGATGCCATGTTACTATTTACCGATGTTTGAGGGCAACACAAACTATCCGATATGTAGAGGCGGTTAGATTTAGCAAGGTAAGACGTATCGTGTATTAGTATATGGTGGGACTAATGTTGTGGTTTTTCATTTCGGATTTTTGATAAGTGATCCGAAATAATATCCTAAATTCCGAAATCAAGACGAAAATCCGATATATATCCAATATAAATCCAATATTCCGATAAATTAATCGAAAAGAACTGCAGCGCTAATAATGCTGGATATTCAAACTTTATTGATGTATAGTTAAAGAGATATATAGTATACATCAGTGCATTTGATGTATAATTGGTTTGATGTATTGTTATAGAACGTGTTAAACGTCTAGGAACATATTAGATATTTTAGCCCCAACAGATCCGGAAGGTTCTGATGATCAAAACAAGCTATAATACATTATAAACGGATTGATGCATAACCAGCAATTGATAAACAAAGATAAGCCAAGAATTGATAGCCGGAATGGATTTACTACAATACTTAATGTTTCATTATGTTTTTTTATATTTCTTAATGTTTAATGTTTTATTATATTTCTTAATGCTTTTTAATATTTTTTAGTGTTTCTTAATACTTCTTATTGTTTCTTATTACTTCTTATTATCTCTTATTGTTTCTTAGTATTTCTTATTATTCTTTATTATTTATTATTGTTTCTTATTGTTTCTTATAGTCTATATTCTTTGATATGTGTTATAAAAGTTATATAAACTCTAGTTTTTTCTCTTTCTAGCACTTTAGGATTTGTTCTCTGCAATCTTTAAGTTATTAGGATTCTTTAGAAATAGATAGATACCTTTAGTTGGCCTTATATCTACCATTGTTACAATGCTATGGCTTTTTTTGTAACTACATAGCACGGTAACAAGGTCATCCGGTGCAGGAATTCTGCTACTGGAATATACACAAGGTGGAGTACAGTTAAGTATCCACAGCAGAAAATAAGTAGTTCGGTTAGGGATAGTGTATTTTAAACCTTTATTTATTATAGACAAGAGGATAACCTTCTTTAGAGATCCTAAAGAGAGTTATACATTATAAGAGAGAATTACATAAGACTAATTCTATGAGAAAGAGGTAATTGAGATCTATCTAAGAGCTATACTAGATCTATTTTTACAAGAAGGAATTAAGGCTCTCTTTATATACTTTTTACAAAATAGAAGAGAGAATTGAGGGTAATATAACATTGTACTTGAGAGAGTTGAGGGACATGCTTGAGAGAGTAGAAGGCCGTGTTGAGGGAGTTGAAGACCATGTTAAGGGAGTAGAGAGAGTTGAGGAAGATAGAGGCTATGTTGAGAGACTTGAGAGCCATGTATAACTTTAGCCACATTATGTACCATAGTGGCTTTAACTCTCTGTTAAATACTAATATTAATAAATAATAACTATCTAATATAAAATACAAAATAATAAATATAAACTAAATAATATAAAATATAGAATCTAAATTATATGCTATGCTATGCTAATTTACGAAAACCTGTTTCATAACACCATAAATAAATATAGTACATCTTAATCAACATATATTTTACTCTTATATCAACTTTACTGAATTGCTCTAGTGAAGTAATATTCCACTTTTACACCACTTCATATCTATTCTGACCTTATATAGATCCCTGTTGCCATGTGCTGTGTTGTAAATACTATATTTTAAAGAAGGCTATAGTCCACTTAATAGTATAATTAGCAGGCCGACTATTAGCCAGAAGCTTTGTAGTCACATGATTTTAATCGGTGATTTCTTATCTGCATAATGCAGACTAGCTGTAGAGATGTTTAGGCTGCTACAAATAGCAGAATTCTACTGAGAGAAAAGTACAAAATTGTTTTTCTTCTTGCTATCGAGCTGCTTTTCTGAGTTATATCTGTATATTATTGTCATATGTTTTCTAATTTCATTAAATTTATACTTTGTATATACTAAATTCTTTTGTTAGAGCCAGGATCACCCATGTGATTGTTGTTTGCTAATGCATCACTGCTTAGCAGTTATAAAAAAATAATCTGATATCAGAATAGATCGGTAAGCAATAAACCTAAAATCCTGATACATAACAGGTTTTTTTTTGGCTGCACTTATATTTTATTAGTAATATATCTGATATATATATATAGTATGTAAAATCTTTCCAATAATTATAGGCAAAGGATAAATATCATAGAGTATTGTTATAATTATAAAAAATAAATAAAAAAGTTGATTGAATTTTAAGTTAGAGAATATATATTCAATTCACTAATTTCTCTTCACAGTTCTGATTATGAAGACAGTAAAAAATAATAAAAGCCTGCTATGTTAATTTTTTACTCTTATAATTTTGTACCACACATGTGAAGTTGTAGCCTAGTGTTTTGATTTCCAAAATCTGAAAGGTGAAACCAAAATGCTCCCAAAGGTGAAATAAATCCAAAATAGGTGAAACCCAGCAAAGCTGAAATAGTGAAATCTCTGAAATATTTTTGATAAAAAAGTTTGGCACAGCTCTTCTTTTTGATAGACATTTTGAATTTTTTAAATCTTTGAGCAAAGTTATCTTGACACTCACCAAGTCAAATTTGATAAACTTTTTTTATTTAAATTCTATAAATCTGTATAATTCAAAAAAAAAAAAAAAAAAAGCTCATTGAATTTGTCTTGGTGGGTGTCGAGATATCTTCACTCAAAGTTTTAAAAAAAAGTCTGGTGCAGCTCTTTTTGATATTAACCCTAGGTGCCGCACAAAAAATGCGCGGCAGATCCTCGATTTTGATTGGCTAACAGACGTGGATCTTCAAAATTTTGCCCCATATTACATAATTGTTTACTAATTTCCGGCCGGAATTAACTTTTTATTTTTTTCATTACAAAAATATAAATTTTTTAAAAAATAAGCCCGAATTATGGTAAAATTGGCCCAGGAACAATTTTCACTTAATGGGCGGCTGGCTGGCCTAATTTTTGATCGTCGCTCTTAGCCAATCAAAATTAAGAATCTGCCGCGACAATTTTGCTTGTTTGATAGACGTTTTGAATTTTTTAAAGTAAAGATATCTCGACACTCACCAAGTCAAATTTGATAAACTTTTTTTATTTAAATTCTACGAATTTGTAGAATTCAAATAAAAAAAACTCATCGAATTTGGCTTGGCGGGTGTCATGATATCTTCACTCAAAGTTTAAAAAAAGTTTGGCGCAGCTCTTTTTGATAGACGTTTTGAATTTTTAAATCTTTGAGTGAAGATATCACGACACCCACCAAGCCAAATTCAATGAACATTATTTTATTTGAATTCTACAGATTCATGGAATTCAAATAAAAAAAAGGTCATTGAATTTGGCTTGGTGGGTGTCGAAATATCTTCGCTCAAAGGTTAACAACAGTTTGGTGCAGCTCTTATTTTGATAGACGTTTCGGCTTCGCCATTTCGCCAATTTCGCCAGTTTCGGAATTATTGGATTTCAGGCTTTTGGGCGCGCCCTATTTCGGAAATTTCGCCCGAAACACTATTGTGGCCTGTGCTAAAAACTTGAATTTCATCTATCGGTTTACATTTTTTACTTTAATTATAAAATCTATCGTTATTTTTACTCTAATCTGACTTTAATAAGTTACCACTAAGTCTAAAGTAAGATCAGATGCCCGTTAGATTTACGTATATACAGTATTTACTAAAAATATATTTAATGCCCAATACTGTAAATTGATAGATTCAAAAACGAAAATCAAGATTTTGCCGTGCACTAATCAGGTAGGGTTGTGTTACATAAATTACAATTTACAATAAATTTTACAATACACGTAACTTTCAGTAAATAAGATTTCATGTAATTTTTCGTCACGTTATATATAACCAGCTTTACGCCAACATTATGCATCATTTGATTTAAATATATCAATCACCGAAAATTTGATCCAGAAACTAATATCATATGCCCAAAATTTCAGGTCATGGCTACATCATTTTGTTACCATGTGATTGTTAAATAAGCATCATCTCATCGATACTTTTTTTTTTGATTTCCACATTAAGGGTGTTCTCAAGTGCCTTAGTCAATCGATCGGAATAGGGTCGGGGGCAAATTTTAATTAATAAAAAATTGG